TACAGTTGTGGGATCGCACAACGTTACACGATGTGCGGTGTGCGCACGATGTGTGCACGGTGTGTGAACGATGTGTGCACGATGTGCGAACGATAAAAATGTGGGCGATCAAATCTTGCGCACATTTGTGTGCACGATGGACGAACGTTGTGTGATAACAATCGTGGTTGGTGTAAATTGAGGAATGCCTTAACAATATATACGGTTTCGTGTTTAAACATATAAACCTTGATTTTTACGTATGTTTCTATATTCTACCTACACCTATAAACTTATCTTTATATCTATACTTTCTTAAATTTAGAAATTGTGTTTTTGGTAATTTTTAAACGACCTTAATCGACACCTGTGAAATCACAACACAGTCTCGTATACAGGTTAACATATATAGCCACTAGCCGTCTACATGTACCTGGATGGTAGTTTTCCCCCGCCCGGGGTGCTTACTTATTTCTTCGGGTAGGGCCAGGGGTGTGAAAACACAGGTGAAGGGGAGCTATAGGCAAGCCGAATGCAAATAACAAATACTAAATGTCCAGCTGTGTTTTCATTACGGTCATACGGTATCGCATATCAGCTCTATGTGTCAGGTACAGGCCAGGTCAAACCCCGGTAACTCATCAAATTGTTAATTACATATTCTGTTACCTTGGCGCGAAACCCATTCTTGACAGTCTAACGGTCACTGTAATGCTGTGTTACACGCATTGTACAACTGTACATAATCTTCATTACTATGATGAGATATTACAATAATACATACAGTTTTCATTATTGCATACATATTTTTTTCATTAATTAATAGTGATCTACAAATTGTACCCAATCGCACAGTTGTGCGGAGAGAAGCGCACAACGGGGCGAACAATTGTTAAATCGCACAGTTGTGCACACCATGTGTGGACGATGTGCGGACGGTGTGTGAACGATGTATGCACGGTGTGCGCACACTATTTTTGGTGCGTTGTGCGGTCACACAACTGTATATCACTTTGGTATGGAACAAGTGTGTGTTGGTCCCCTTTGTAGTCCAGGTATGTCACTTTGGTATCTAATAGGTATGTATTGTTTCCCTGCGTAGTACTCTTGTTTAAGGTCTGTTTGATTATGTATGTCATTTGCCCATGTGTTTTATTTAATAGATTGTTTGACTGGAGACCAGAGAAGAAGGAATTGGGGGAAGTTGCTGGTGCTGCACGACAGAAGAATGAGAAAGTTGTGGTCTTAAAGAACATGTTTGATCCCAATGAATTTGAAGTAAGTATATATTGAGGATGCTGGAACTCTGAGGTAAGTATTGATATAAGATACTTGAATCATGAAGTAAGTCTTGATGAGAGATACTTAATAATGTGATATGGGATGTAGGAATGAGTAATATTGTATAAAATGCTGGAACCAAAGTAACTGAAATATACAGTGTACATATATGAGGAGAATATATTTTCAAAAATCATTTCTATTGATATCATAAGCAGTGGCGGATCCAGAGANTGATATAAGATACTTGAATCATGAAGTAAGTCTTGATGAGAGATACTTAATAATGTGATATGGGATGTAGGAATGAGTAATATTGTATAAAATGCTGGAACCAAAGTAACTGAAATATACAGTGTACATATATGAGGAGAATATATTTTCAAAAATCATTTCTATTGATATCATAAGTCAATATTAAAATTGAAAAATTACAGAAATATTTGTTTGATTAAGGAGGAAAATATTAGTGAAATATTCCATGGGCGATAATATGGTTGATGGTTGTGTGCTGTGTGTTAGTGAGTTGTTTCCCCTTTGACATAAGTTTACTAACATTAGTAGGTCTAATACTGGTTATCTCCCTTCGAACAATTATTTGATACATGTATTCTTCATTGGGTTTTACAGAAATAAGGTTGGATTGAAATTATGGGATTTCAGGGGTTTTGCCAGGTGTTTATAGAGTCCTGTACAGGGACCCATCCCCCAAGTGAAAATGACCCTGAATTTTCCCAATTTCAGTCTTTATTTTCCCAATTGAATTAAAAAGCATGTTTATACAAGTTTCCAGTTGTTATGTGTGCAGCATTCAAAGTATTACCGTCCATGAAGGAGCATTTAAAATACATAAGTAAAGAAAATTTGAAATGAGTTAAAAAAAAACACTGGAAATTTATGTTTTTTTTTTATTGCTGTACATTTTACTGTAAGAAGCAGCGTCAGGAAACTTTTTGCTAATCTCATTGCAAATTTTATTTTTTTTCAAACTTGTGAGAACACTTATGATATTTCCCATTTTTTGCCAAATGTGGATGATATTTTCATAGTTTCTGCTCAAGGGCCCTTTCCCAAAATAGCTGGCGAAAAAGCCTGGATTTTCCTTACCAGAATATTCACTCTATTAAAAAAATGACAGAAATATTGCAGTTTTTCTCCATTGATGGTGTAATATTTCAAACCATGCAAGTTTCTGATCGCCTTTATATAACCAATTAGGATTTGATAAAGGATTATGGAAAAATATAAATTTAAAAACTGTCTGGGGGGTGGGGGGAAGGGCGATATTTTATGAAATTTTCAGTTTACTGAGTATAAATGTAGTACTGCAGTTAATATTTTCTACTCACTTGGTTGCCAGTAAGCAAAAATAATAGATTTTGATTAATATGCTTCAATGGTGACCATTTCTTTATGCAAGGTATGTATGACTCAGGGATCTATGCAATTGAAGTGGTTTCTCTGTTGTGATCTGTTGTTACATACACAAAAGAAAAAGATGTCTTTGGAAACATTATTTCATCTAACTTATCACTCTCGGGTAGTCATCATTGCATATAATGAAAATAAAATAGGAACTAATGAAAATTTAAGCCCTTTTAAATTTGAGTTCATTTTTCACACTCAAAAGCTCACAACATTGACAAAAATGAGTGTCTCTCAACGAAAATTGGCTTCATTTTGTTTTTTATACAGACAAAATTTAACTTTTCTACATTTCTGCTGTGGAAGGAAGTTGTAGTTAGCATGTATAAATCCCTCTCTGAAATTGTGGGTAGTGAATTGTAGAAATATTATGTATCACAACCAGTAAGCGTTTATGTGTGACATTTTGATGACAAGTATGGTTATCATGTTATCATGTAAACACCCTATCTGGAATGTGTTAAGTGAAGTTAGTGTATATAAATTCCTATAAGGAATTATGGGTAGTGATGTTAGCATGTAAACACCCTCTCTGGAATGCGTTAAGTTAAGTTAGTGTATATAAATTCCTATAAGGAATTATGGGTAGTGATGTTAGCATGTAAACACCCTCTCTGGAATGCGTTAAGTTAAGTTAGTGTATATAAATTCCTATAAGGAATTATGGGTAGTGATGTTAGCATGCTGTATTGTGGTTAGCGAACATCGTATCTCTACACAATTATATATATATTAGATTTCTTACTTGAATATCTCGGTTAGGTGTGTTATCCAGTATCTTAATTCCAGGAAAATGTGGCTTAAAACGAAGCTCATTGCTATGTTCCTCAGTATAGTATGTGCAAGTTGTGTTCTGAGGCTGGCAACAGTATGTTGTGTGACGTTCATACTACAAAGTGTCGAATACATTCTCAAGGTTTATAAACATTAGTCTGTGAGGTTCACATCTGCTGAAACTTCTTTTACGGGTAATGCTGTTCTTCTGTTCGAATGTATTGTGCGAACAATAGTCTTGTCATGAGTTGATGAATCTTGGTAATGATATTAGAAATCCCCAAACCATCGGCAGCATAATTGTAGTTTAGCAATTGGGCAGGTAGACCTCAAATTGTGTTCAGTACAGTGTGGTAATTTAATATACTGTATACAGTGTTGGGTAGTTTCCATCTGTAGCGTTGAGTGTTTCAACTATTGACTAGGTAGCCATGTAGGTTTTCCTCTTGGGTATTGTGGTAATTACAAAGTCAATGAGATTATGACAGACTTACAAAGTCAATGAGATCAAGACAGACTTACAAAGTCAATGACATCAAGACAGACTTACAATGTCAATGAGATCAAGACAGACTTACAAAGTCAATGAAATCATGACAGACTTACAAAGTCAATGAGATCAAGACAGACTTGCATAGTCCATGAGATATGTCATCTGAAAGGTTGGTAAAATGTAGAAATTCTGTAATCTTCGATATGTCCATCTATATGGCTTAAAGGAGAGAGATGGATTCCATAAGGAATGCAAGGGACCTCCTCAAAAAACAATTAGTAACAACTGGGGGGTGGGCACCCATCGTCCTTTTCATTTGTCTTGGATACTTAGCAAATGAATCTGCTTGAAATATTTACAGTGACAAAGTCGACAAGAACATGATAGACTTGCATAGTCCATGAGATCATATCTATACACAATATCTATTGTCAGCTCCAACAACCCAGGTGGAGTATAAAATGGTCTGGGGTGGGTGTTGCGGTATCTGTGCTGTAGCATTCAAGTGAGGTGGCACTATAAATGATACCGTTGGAAGCACAGTCCCACTACAAACAGAACACAATACATCTCCAGCACACAAGCAGGCATACACACATAGGGAGATATTAGCCAGGTGGCATAGGACTAGTAGTTAGCGCCTGATAAGGCAGCTCCTGATAAGGCAGCTCCTGCGAAATCCTCAATATTGTATTGATTAATATATATGCTAATTGTATTGACTGTATACAATTATATATCTATGTACTGTAAAGCGCTTCAGAGTGGCTTATGTTAGCTAGATAGGGCGCTATATCAAATGTTGTATATTATTATTCCTTATTATGAGATCATGACAGACTTGCAAAGTCAATGAAATCAAGACAGACTTAAAAAGTCAATGAGATCATGACAGACTTACACAGTCAATGAGATCAAGACAGACTTACAAAGTCAATGACATCAAGACAGACTTACAAAGTCAATGAGATCAAGACAGACTTACAAAGTCAATGAGATCATGACAGACTTACAAAGTCAATGAGATCAAGACAGCCTTGCATAGTGCATGAGATCATCACAGACTTACAAAGTCAATGAGATCAAGACAGACCTACAATGTCAATGAGACCAAGACAGACTTACAAAGTCAATGAGATCAAGACAGACTTACAAAGTCAATGAGATCATGACAGACTTACAAAGTCAATGAAATCAAGAAAGACTTACAAAGTCAATGAGATCAAGACAGACTTATTAAGTCAATGAGATCAAGACAGACTTACAAAGTCAATGAGATCAAGACAGACTTTCAAAGTCAATGAGATCATGACTGATTTACTAGGATGTGTATTTACTGGAGTATAGGGAAACTGCTTGATATAGGTCCTCATTTCGAACAGTTGATTTTTAGTGTAACACCAGTTGAATACTACAGGAGAGAAACCATATTAACTAGTGCAGGCCATACTATACTCAACTCAAGGTGAGTGAAGTTGAACAACAAGAAAAAATAGTTTCCTCAAAGTCAGGCAGGAATTGAACCTACTGCTTGGTGGTCATAAGGCAGACATACTACCAACAATGATTTGGGAATACTCTCCTGCTGGAAAAACACAAATAACAACAGCTAACCAGTGATTCAAGAATACTTGTCTGTTAGTAGGTGTAATCTGTTTGGCTTGACCTACCTTTAGGTTACGGTTGTATTTCCTTGGTACAGGCCACCACATAATCACTTACTCATCTCATTAAATATGCCGGTATCAGTGTGTTTTGCTTGGTATACTAAAGCATATGCAACACTTCACCGCCTATATAAAAATGACGTATAAAGAAGATCAGAACATTGACAAGGATTTGTTGAAGTTTATTATCGTGATCATTAAGGATGTACACCTCCGAGAAGTCAAAAAAATCCTGTATTAAACTTTTGTTCATATATGGATTTTTGGAAAAGGAGTTTATGGCATATTAAAAAAGGCCAAAAAAACGGTATGTCCGTGTGTTCGTTTTTGTGCTATGATCGGTCAAAGATACCAATTTAACACAACATGAGAATTTAGGTGATTTTTTGGGTTTTGACTTCGTTCTCCCAAGTGTGTTATCAGATATGTATGAATGTTTATAGAATTGATGAAAATATTATTTTCTTTTAAATGATGGAAGTAAAAATTCTTAATCTTATTCTTTTAACTCAGAAAGCCGATTTAAGTTACCTCTACCCCCTATTTTTTAATTCTTGGAAAAAAGGTTCTACAAACAACAGGCATCTAGCTTTTTTGACATATTTTTCAGATGCGTGTTTGCTAATAAACTTGATCAT